GTGGACTGATCGCCACTGACATACTTCCCTGCACAATACCGGGAATCTCTTCTTCAAAAAATGACTAGCAAAAAAACTTCGCTCCGCCGGCCTCCATAAAACCCCGATCCCTCCACAACGCGACTTTAAGAACCGAGCCATTGTTGAAACTATCGCCTAAAAGTGTCCCCCTGCTCACCACCATCATCAACAGCAACGCGCCTAAAAATGGGTTTCCTCCATCTACAGCAACTGTGGTGCCTCGGGTATCGGCTTTTTCGCTTCGCTCCGCTTAGCCGATGACTTCTTCTGACTCTGCTTCTGTTGCTGCTTCCTTTGAATAAGTGTAATCCGATCTCCCAGACTCAGCGCAATGCCTTGCGTCCTCGAACGAATCCTCACTGAACCGCTCAAGGAACCGTCAGGATTCTTCTCAAGCGAGACGTTGGCCAAAGCGTCTTCGCCGAAAATCGATCGAGCATATCTAAGGTTGACGACAAAGATACAAAACAGGTCCGTTGGTGACACATCCTCATGCTAGGTTGGCTCTACCAACACTGCATAAAAGATATACTTCCCGAATCCCTATTCCCTCCCCTATTACAGATTCACAGCCACGAACTTCGACTGCGGTCCCAGTAGCTTCGACAGGCTACTCGACTCATTCAGCTCTCTAGTAACCTCAGCCTTCACTAGTGCCTATATCAGACAGCAATCGAGTTGAGTACTATCATACGTAAAGTCGTCGATGTAGTGAAAACCACAGGCCAAAGATGAACTCGATAGAGTGCATCTCTTCTTACCTTCTTAGCAGTGTGAGTTTCTTCCCCAGTCTTCACATTGGCGCGAACCTGGAAATTAGCAGAGTATGAATCGCTCCGCTCCGCTCAGAGCTATTATCCCACCTCCCTCCTGCCAACTATGCTCATGTTTGTGTTCTCCATAAGGTTGGCCAGGAACTCCCGGGGCTCCACACTCGTATTGGTGATATTGATCTTATTCTCCCACTCAAATTCGGACCTGTAATATCGTCTCAATTCCTCTAGCGGAGCGATGCATAAAATCCTTCCTACCACATCGTTCGGAAATTCAACTCATTCACCCAAGCTCTTTCAATGTAGTCCAGAATATCAACATGTAACTCATTCAAGACCAAAGATTCCTGAAGCATATCCGTATAAAGATTCAAAACAGGTCCGGGATGCACCCACCTTGTCATCAGCCGATTTCATATCATAAGCCACATAGCCGTAAATGACGCCTGTCTCGGTAGACGATACCTTGATCGTCGCATAAAGAACAGCATGAGCTCCCGGCGCCAACGTCACACACTGAGGTCTTTCCACGATCTTCAAGTCACCTATAATCGATCACCAGGGCGTGCGCTAAGATGATCAACCATGTAACCTTCACCTTGAGTGCTCAGTTCGACCTGAATGTTCTGCAGGGTAGTATTGGTGCGATTGAAAACGTTCAATTCTAGAACCTACAGACAAAAATTAGAAAAATGCGATTTATCGCTTCGCTCCGCTAAGGACCTTCCACACTCACAAACCGCACCCACCAACTCACCAAGTCAAAGCTGTGAACTCTGAGGAAGCCTTCAACATAAACTGGGTCGGCCAAACCCGTCATTGGCAATACCCTGAGTACACAACGATTTCAAACGAAAAGCATCGTTCAAGAAGATGACCGTTCCCGCGCAATTTCCGAGTATTGCATTGAGGCGGTTGATGAATAGAAAAGTAAAAGAGATGGAAACGATTTTTCGCCTCTGAGATGATCTACAATATAACAGCTGTTTTGGATCGATTCATGCGAGTATATATAATAACAAACGACTGAACAAAACCTCACTGAGGTCAAACCCGTAAAGAGCTCTCATCTCCCAGAGCACTTTCCCTCATAAAAAGCACCTTCGAAATCCCTGAAAAACCTACTTGTCCAAACGTTCAGCGAATAGTGCACCCGTCTCCAACTCGCTGGTCGGGGAACCGTCAGCCGTCGAGGCGGTCAGCATAGAAGCATCATCGCTTTCGAACAGGTCACAACCGGCGTCATCACCATCATCATCAACAGTCGCGCCTAAAAAGTGGCACGATCTGGACCTCAAGATACTCCAGCTCTCACGCTTACCTGGTTTCAACTGCCTGAAGAAAACAAGGTCATCTGGTTGCTTGCTGGCGCTCCGCATGGCGCTCTCCTCAGCTTTAGCCGGGTCTTCTCCTGCTTCCAACTCAAGGACCTTCCAACGGAAAAATGTCACCGGCGGGGATCGAACCCGAGACTTCGTGCTTACCTGTTTCAGAGCATTTCTCGCTTGGTTGCCTGAACCCCACTCTCGTTTGAAACTGCGTTCGATCTGAGAAAGACCGGTCTTATAAATAATGAATAACGCTGTGTGGAGGGATCGAACCCGGGACCTACGCTCTTGTTAGGAGCAACAATAGCCCTGATGCACTGCGTCAGTCGACTGACGGCATCGGTATCCGTCACTCTGCCATTCACTGCTCCACCCGATGCATTTTCGATGTCGCTCGCGCCTGACACCCCAAGCTCTACATCGATGCATATCCGAGGTCGCGCCATGGATGATACACAATAGGTCCGAAAGAAGGCCATGTCAGTCAGCAGATACTCACCTTCCTGTTTAGAGAGGTTCTCACAAAGCCTCACCAGGTTGGCAAGGAGGAAGCAGATCTGATTCTTCACAACTACTGGGCAACTGTGAACTGATCAACCAATGCAACGACGTTCATCACTCCACCACATCCCTTCTAATGCTCGACTTACGCACACCTCCCTTGACGAGCAGCTTAGTCGCTGTCACTCCAACCATTGTAGCCAATAACGAATCTCCTTCAGCTATCAATTTACCTGAAACCTCACAGCCTCATCTTGACCTATTCCGTATCTTGCACGCTCAACCTCAAGATACTCTCCAACTTACGCATCGGCGTCTTCGACTCCTTATCATTCCTATCCTCCTCTGCTGCCGCGCCACCATCATATCTAATCTCAAGAACTATCGCGATCATCGAGAGCATCATCAGAGCTTACACTGTCTCATTCGCATAAGTGCCATCAGCCAGCACCACAGTGCGAGTAGTTACCTTAGTACCTAATAATAATTAGCTGAGATCAATGCACATACCAGGAAGATTGAGGCTACTATGCAACCATAAAATACGCCAGAATACCCCCTCCATAGGTGCTAAAGGTGCCCTACCCGTCTCCACAGGTCCCTTCGCTTTCTCGTCCTTCTCCGCCTCTGTAGCCTTCGGTTTGATTGGTAACGGCGACACACAGTCAACGATCTCCTCCAACACACTTTGCGAGAGCTCCTTGCCGCAATCTGATAGCACCATCATTGTAACACAATAAATCTGCACGCATGCGCAGGAAGAGTTTGTCGCACCTGGCGAGAATTCTCCCAACAACCATAGGCAGCCTCTTATCACACGTGACTGGCGTATCTCATTCAGACTTTCGGCCTGACGAAGATTTTCTCATTTCTCAACCTCGTTTATCACGGACTCACCAATCGAGTCAAGATACTCTCGCGGAGCTGCTCATGTCTAATGATAGTCTCCCTCACAAACATCACGATATCCGCCGCGACCGCCGCCGAATCTGAACATCATACCACTCCTCGCCCAATTCATAGTGATAGATGCCCATCAGATCGGTTGCCAATCCCTTTTATCAAAGACTTCATAATTCCCCAAAGATTTTTACCAGCACCGCTGCCAGAGAGTAATAGGAAGGCGCTTTACTCGAACCAGTGAGAATTATTCAATTATAATTCATAAAATTGACTTTCTGAAGCTTCGGAATTGAGAACAAAAATAATTCCTCCGAAAATATGGCGCAGTGCAAAGTTAGGAGAAAAGCAGAAAATCTTAGGAGTATATCGGAAATCCTACAGTGCGTGTCAATTCTATATGCATGCAAAAA